TCCCCCCTCCCTCCGAACCCTCCGGGCGAGGAACCCCTGTGTGCTCACTCAGGACAGCCCATTCTCCCTCAGGTTGTTACCCTGCTCTCTTGGGGGCCAGAATTTGCCTCCTTGTAATTTTTACTCCGTGCCCTAAGCCATGCCCTCTGAAACTACACAGAACCAGTCAGTCTGCCGGCCCCAAAACATTTGAAATGGCTCTCAAGGTCAGTCTTCTCTTTCCCCAAGCTGCTCGCCCTGTTCCTGCAGGTCCCTCCACGGCAGCGGTTCTCAACCTGTGGGTCGCAACCCCTTTGGGGGTCGAACGACCCTTTCACAGGGGTCGCCTAAGACCATCGGAAAACACATACATAATTACATATTGTTTTTGTGATTAATCACTAGGCTTTAATTATGTTCAATTTGTAACAATGAAAATACATCCTGCATATCAGATATTTACATGACGATTCATAACAGCAGCAAAATTACAGTTATGAAGTAGCAACGAAAATAATTTTATGGTTGGGGGTCACCACAACATGAGGAACTGTATTAAAGGGTCACGGCATTAGGAAGGTTGAGAACCACTGCTCCACGGGCTGCATGGCCCTGGCCCTGCCCCCATCATGGCCCCTCCAGTGGCCCCCAGCCCATCCCGCCCCCCAGAAGGGAGAGGACAGCGTCCACATGCCCAGCCACGCAGAGGGGCGCGATGGTCCTTTGTTCAGGCAGCGCAGCCTGGCGTCGGCGTTGTCGGTTGCGCTGACCGGCACGTCTCACCCTGGGCTCACCACTCTCTGGAGGAGGCCCAGCCCCAGAACCTGCACACAGAGGAGGCCGTGAGGCAGGTCGTCTGGCCGTCAGGCAGGAGTGTGTGCCTTTAACGTGGCATCGTTTCTGCTTGGCACTGCGCTCCACCAGATCTGCTTAATCTGGATTCTGGATCCTCTCCAGGAGCCGCCGCTCCCGCTTTCTGTCTCCTTCCAGTGGGAGAGCAGAGCAGACTCCCATGTCAGGGTGGCAGCCTGTCTGCTCAGGGACCCAGGTCACAGAAGTGAGCATGTTTGCAGGTTGCAGGTTGTATTGTTTCATTAGGCAGCTTTATTATCGCTCATGAAAACACACGTGTATTCTTTTCTTTTTTCCTTAATCCTCACCCGAGGATATGTTTGTTGATTTGAAAGAGAGAGAGAAACATCAATCGATTGCCTCCCATACATGCCCAACCAGGGATTGAACCCACAACCAAGGCATGTGCTCTGACTGGGAACTGAACCCCAACCCTTTTGGGGCACGGGACGACGTTCCAACCAACCGAGCCACACCAGCCAGGGCCACACATGTATTCTTAAAACTGAGTGTCCACTTCTAAAACAGAAGAATGAGCCCTAGCCGGTTGGCTCAGTGGATAGAGTGTCAGCCTGCAGATCGAAGGGTCCCGGGTTTGACTTCGGTCAAGGACATGTACCTCAGTTGCAGGCTCCTCCCTGGCCTTGGTTGGGGTGTGTTCAGGAGGCAACCAATTGATGTGTTTTTCTCACATCGATATTTCTCTCTGTTTTTCCCTCTCTCTTCCACTCTCTCTAAAATCAATGGAAAAATATACTCGGGTGAGGATTTAAAACACACACACACACACAAAGAATGACAATAAGAAAATATTGTACTTTTAGCCAATAAATAATTAATCACGGTCATAGTAGGAAGTAACCACATTGGAGACAGCTTTCTAATTTTCCATCCTTCACATGTGCCCAGAGGCTCTAGTTTACAAAGTGAGTTCCCATTATTTTTATCCATTCCAGCCTTAAAACAGACTCGCCAGAGGAATAAAATAAAGAGAAACAAACACACTGGGCAAGGAGCACACCCTACAGATGGGGAGTACGTCACCAGGTGAAGTGACTTCCCCAGGACTCAATCACATAGGAGTCCACCCAGATCTGGTGGTAGAATCTGTTTGTCTGATGGAACACGCTATTTCCCGAGTGCCCACTGTGTACCAGGCACTGTGCCAGGCACTGGGCAGTCAGAGATGTGTGCTGTGCTCCCCCGTCCAGAGCCCTCTCCCCGCCGGCTTCCTCTTTGCCTGGGCTGGACAGCAGGAGTAGATCTAGCCTTTGCCCCTACAGGCCACAGCTGGGCTTTGCAATTCTAGTCCTTTTGCTATGTGTGCATGTGGAGCAGAGCAGATCTTACTGCAAAGCCAGAAACCCCGTGAGCTGCCTCAGCCGTGCATAATCACATCAGCCACGGCAGAAGCAAGGACACAGCCTGGCACAGCACCTGGAGAATGCTTCCGGCACAGCCTTCAGGTGCTGGGGATAGGACAGATACTTCGTCAAGGATGATACCCACCTGTGTTCAAAGCAGACTCTGTAGCCCCGTGGACCTCTGACCCCACTTCTTAGGCGTCTGTCCTGCATTTCCACTCCCCTGAGCTCACTCACCAAGGCTCCTGCCTCAGCCCTGGCTGCCTCCACACACAGCTGCTGTCCTCAGTCATGGCCCCGACTTCTCAGGGTCATCGTTCACCTGGGAAGGCCCAGCGAGGAGGAGCATTGAGAGAGAACACTTGTCCCTGCAGGACGCTGTGCTCTTTCAAGGCACAGGTGCGTGCGGATGCAGACGGTTTTCATAGCTGCACCCCAGGCCTACGGCTCTGTCTCAGACCTTCCCAACGCCGGCATCTGTCCTAAAGCTCACTCTGCAGCCTTCCAAGAAGGGCCTCCTCCATTGCCATTTGCCAGGTATTGCAGGCAGCCTGGGTGGCAGACAGGACCATGCATAGATGCTCTCACATCTGGCTTTTCAGTCCGGCCCTGGCCCTGCTTTTCTCCCTCCTCCAGAAGCCAGACTCCAGAGGGCGGGGACCACTGAGCAGATGGGTGGGTGACTCCCCTGCTCTGGCAGGATCAGGGGGCAGTCTTAGCGCATCTCAGGCCTGCCCAACAGGGATGTCACCAGTTCCCCTGCCCGCCCAGTCTGAGCCCCACCAGCAGCCAAAGGACACGTGAGCCAGCCAGAGTCCTCACACAGGGTTTCAGATGGCTGAGGAGTGGGATTGGTCGGATCCAGGCCCTCCCTGGGCTGGGGCAGGGGAGCCATGCGGCTCCTGAGCTGGTCTCTGCTGCCACCATCAGGACACACGGCCCACCACCTCCCGCCGGAGGCTCCGGGCCTGGTGCTGCATGGACCCTCCCTCGCCTGTCAGCCCTCTGGGTTCTCACCAACTCAGTTTTGTGTCTCTACCAGGCTCCCTGGCCTGGCCTGCACATGCCACACCCAGTCCTGAGAATGTGGAAGGTGAGGGCGGGAAGCAAGGCCAGCTGCGCAGGCTTTCCTCACCAGGCCCGGAGTGCGGCCATGTGCCTTGCCCAGAGCACCCGCTCCCTTCCTCCATAGGGTACACACACCACCAGAGCATCCGTGCAGGGGTCACCGACCACACTGGTGTGCACAGCGTGGCTCTCGGCTGTCTTAGTTCTGAGAATGGCAGTCAAGTCTGAATGTGTGTGTGTACCTTTTACTCACAGGCCCCACGTGACTGTGACCTTGTAAGAAAACCTGTTAGAGTTACTCTTTCCAGTGAAGAGACTAGAGGAGATCAGGACGAGAAGGAAGTGTGACCTGGGGGGCTCCTGAGCCAGGTGAACAGGGAGAGAGCAGCCTTTGGCAGGGCAGGGCTGTCCAGGCGTGTCCTCAGCTGACCGCGTCATGCCCAGGCTCTCAGCTCTGCTCTGTGCTGCCCAACCAGCGCCCCCTGGTGGGGACCTCCTGGGCTTCCTCGGGCATATTCCCTCTGGCCAGGGTGGGGAGTCAGGCAGCAAGTCCCCAGCCTGGCTCCCCCAGGCCCATGGCCTCGGCCAGTCTTGCCACCTTCCACACGCTGAGGCCTCCCCTGGACCTCCCCCCTCAGCCTCCAGGGAGGGAAACGATTGCCCCAGCCTGGCTCATCGCACTCCTGAGCCCTCCTTCCCTCCAGGGCCCAGTTAGTCACATACACAGCGAAGGGCCCCCCTGAAGTGTGTCGGCGCTCCCTGCTCTCTCATTTCCTAACGTTAGACCTGCATGGACCGCTGGTGAGGGAGCCTGTGTGATGGGAAGACGTGGCTTGGGAACCAAACACACCTGGACGTCATCCCAGCTTCCCACTCGCAGCCTGGGAGACTTGGACAAGTTACCTATCCACTGGTCCAGTGCCTTCTCCCCTGCAACATGGGGCCAGTGTTCTCTGTTAGTCCGGGGCCTTCGGGAGGCAGACACCAAAACGGGGTTAGGCCTCAAGCGGATGAGTGGGGCGGCTGTGAACTATAAAGGGAGGGGCTGGAGCACAGGGAGAGCCTCGGGCTGTAGCGCAGCTCTGCCGCCTGCAAAAGGAGCGGGAGAGCCCAGGTGGCGTGGCTCGGGTTGAGTGTCGGCCCAGGAACCAGGAGGCCACGGTTCAATTCCAGGTCAGGGCACATGCCTGGGTTGCGGCTCGATCCCCAGTAGGGGGTTTGCAGGAGGCAGCCGATTAATGTTTCTATCTCTATCTCTCTCCTTTTCTCTCTCTAAAATCAATTTTTAAAATAGTTAAAGAGTAGAAAGGAGAGGGAGGCGGGAGGATTGAGGAGTCTCGAGCTGCGGTGCCATTTTAAGGGAGTTTCTAACAGGCCAGTGGAGACCTCAGGCCATGGGGTGTCCCTGTCCTGCAGGAGCAGAGCACTGGTACCCGCCACAGTCCTCATGGCCGGGAGCAGCCCAGGGAGCGCGGCCTCGGCACAGACGCGGTGGCGGGTCCAGGGCAGCAGCTGGGCCATCCCTGAGCTGTGCTCCCTGCAGCAGGGGGTCTGAGCAAAGCGTTTTCGTGGCTGCAGCACCCACTCCAAAGAGACGATGCCTCCAAGGCCCATCGCGGTGCCTGCCGTGGAGAAGGTGCTGCGTACATGGCAGGGGTCGTGGGGCAGTTACGATTCACCCTGCTGTTAGGATTTGCTGTGCCTTCTCCATCAGGCCTGGGGAGGCACTTTAGCAGGTGCTTGGAAAGGCTGAGTCCTCCGGGAACCTGCAGGAGTTCGTTTCCATTTCCTGTCCCACAGGGAGCCTATCCCTGGAACCGTGCCTCCCCCTCAACACAGCATTGTTCCTCCTTCCTGCCACACGTCTGACAGGTCCGGGATGATCCCCACGGGCACTCCTAGGAGGCCCAGAGGACTTGCTGAGCCCGCACTCCACTTTAGAACGTGAGGAAGTCGAGATCTTGACGTCCTGGGGTCTTCATAGCTGTTGCCTTTGGGGGAGCAGAGCAATTGGAGCTTCTAACTGAACCGGAAAGGGGGTGGCCAGCACCGGTGTTTGCACAGAACTGTGATGTACAAAGCGCCTCGTGTGCTAAGGGGTGTCCACTCCAGAGTCCAGGGCAAGATGTGAGGGCAGGCATCAACCCGAGGGTCACAGAGACCGGGGTTCAAGTCCCAGGGACGAGCTGAGTGAGCAGGGCCAGCTGTGTTAACACCCAGGAGCTTCCGGCACCTCTTCTGGAAATGGGGAGGGGCAGGGGTTAACAGCAGCTTCCTCCACAGCCGCTTCGTGGGTTAAATTGGGCGATAAGGCACCTAGGTCAGCGCTGGGGACACATCAGAGATGCCACACGTCTGAGCTGTACTTTCCTTTCCTGGATGAACAGTCAGTCGCTGAAATAACGAGAGTTCTAAGCTGCCCGTGTTCTTGAGTCATGCAGCCCAGTTTTCTTCCTGGGTCTCTGCTGTGGAGGATGCTGGGAGAACGAGGAGACTGTTAATCATGCACCTGTTGTGTGTCAGGCAGCGTGTAGGCATTTGCGTTCATGGTCTCTAACTTTCCTTACAAACCTGTGAGGGCCCCGCTGATCAGCTTGGTGAAGTGCCTTGCCTAGTCTAACACATGGCAGAGCCAGGCTTGAATGCAGGTCTTTGGACTCCAAGCCCCGGCTCTGTCGCCAGGCCGGCTCCCATGTGGCAGGGAAGTGCACCTGAGCGGCCCTGGGAGCTGCTGAGAGAGATGCAGTCAGGAAGGGAGCACTCACAACACATGAAGGAGAGAGAGGTGAGAACAGAAGTCCCTGTCCCAGCCCTCAGGCCACCCCACCAGGGCCAGCCTTCGCACAGGACTCAGGGCAGGAGGGGTCAGGGACCTAATTCTGCAACCTGTGCCAGCCCAGGTGCGCAGCCTGGCTCCATGGCAGCCTCGCCCCTCTCTACCCTCTCTGCGGCTGCCGCCAGCTTGACTCCCCCAGGCTCTCGCACACCCAGTCCCAGGAGCAGGTGGAAAGCAGGGACAGTGAAGAATAGAGACTTGCCCTGGCCCTGCCACTCACACCTGTGACCTGTGGCCAGCCAGGTGCTCTGGCCATGGCCTTCTCGTCTGTGGAGTAAGGCGGTGCCCTAAGTTAGCAGATTTTCAGGCTGCATTCTGCAGCTTCACACACACACACACACACACACACACACACGTGGAGTAAGGCGGTGCCCTAAGTTAGCAGATTTTCAGGCTGCATTCTGCAGCTTCACACACACACACACACACACACACACACACACACACACACCCATTCCTTTCAACCAGTTGAAAGGACTCTTCAGAAGGAAGGGCGGGAAGGAGGAGGAAACGCACAAATTTTAAGTCTATACCAGCCAGACTAAAATTTCTTATAGCTCAAACATTCAGACATTTCCTTCCTATTTTAAAACCTTTTAAGGGGACCCAGAAGAATGGTGAGCAAATTAAAGTCTTCCTGATCAAAGCAGATTGGAAGGCATGGAAACTTGCCTGATCTTTTGACCTTGTCTGGAGGTCTCAGGTTGAGATGGCAGCTGGAATGAGAGCTACAGAATTCCTGCCTCCAGGAGAATTCCTGCATCTGAGAGGGCTGGGTGTGGGCCCTGAGGTCGCAGCTGTGTGGGTGCCAGCTTCTGCAGCTGCCCCACACCCTGGCACCCACAGGCTCCCTGGTGCTGGCCAGTTGGCTGCTGTGGACAGAGATGGTCCTCTGCTGCCCCCTGGTGGCCATTGTCACCAAGGGTCCAGCCTCTGGGCCAGCTCAGCTTGGGGCCCCCTCTCCCCAGCACAGGTGGTTGGCACCTCCAGGCTGTTGGGTGCACCCTGCCCACCCCTGGCCTGGAGCTTCAGCCACCTTACAGGCCCTGGCGATGGCGAGCCTGGGCAGGAGATGCCCGGTCTTCACTTACGGGCTTCTCCCCAAGAGGGATCCTGTAACCCTTGGCATTGCATCACCTGTTCTACATGGGAGCCTAGACAGCCATCCCAGCTCTCCCACCGCAGAGGCCTCCCTGTTGGCCCAAGTCACTCTGTCACCTGGTTCATCAGCAACATCCAAATGTATCCTCCCTGGGGACCCCAAGTCTCAGAGGTTGAACAGACAGGTCGCACGTCAGGCTGTCACACGTAGAGCCCCACCAGGCCCGAATGTGCTGCCTCAGCCTTCAGAGTGTCTTTGTGAGGCAGAATTGTGGACAGTGAACAGCAGACATGGGAGTCCAGGTGTCAGGGTTTGCTCTCGGCCGCCTGTGGGAATCAAGGGCTCGTTTGGTTCTGCCCTTCTCTCTGCTCCCCTCCCCTCATCAGTCCAGCAGAGCCACTCAGAACACACGTGCCTTTTCTGCAGCCACGCTCTCCTCCCACCGAATGAGCGTGGCCTTTTCTTGGAGCAGACTCAGGCGTGGCACTGCAGTGCCCACAGATAACTGAAGTTACAGCCCAGCCTCCTGCCTCACAGTCTATGGACACAACCCTCTGGCCTCATCTCCTGCCTGGCCTCATCTCCTGCCTCGCTCCTCCACACTCACCCCGCTCCAGCCGTGCCAGTCTTTTCTCACACATCAAGCTTGTCCCTACCTCAAGCCCTTTGCACATGCTGTTTTCATTACCTGAAACACACTGCCCCCTGTTCTGCACGTGGCTAGCGCCCCCCATTCTATTTTTAGCTCTAGTTCACCTCCTAGGGAAACCTTCCGTGATGACTCTAACGCACTCTCTCCCCCAGCTCACCTCCATTGTCTCTCTCCCTTCACCCTGTTTTATTTTTCTGAACAGTTGTCACTATCTGAATTCACCTTATTCATTCCTTGTTTATTATGCATAGATTGTCTGACCCCTCTGCACCCTCCATACACACCTAGAGGGGAAGCTTGCGAAAGCAGGGCATCCTTGTCTTTCTTCCACCCCAGCACCTGGCACAGGCACTCAGCATACGTGGGTATTTGTTGAATGAGCGCACACATGAATTAATGAGTGAGGTCAGTGGCTGACTGGGTGGCCATCACCGCGCTCCTGGGGACTGGCCTCTGTCACTCGGGAATGCTGCTCCGTACTTGTCCCCCTCCCTCTTTAACCTGGACTCTCTCCACAGCGGTCTTGCTGACAGTGTGCTGCCTGAGGAGGAAGAAGAAGGCGGCCAACCCGGAGAACAACCTGAGCTACTGGAACAACGCCATCACCATGGACTATTTCAACAAGCACGCCGTGGAGCTGCCCAGGGAGATCCAGTCCCTCACCACCTCTGAGGTACGGAGCCCCGACCAAGGGTGACCCTGGAGGTGCTGGCCCCACTGCCCGGAGAGTCACAGGCTCCCGAGAGAGCTGTGGAGGGAGCATCTGCGCGTTTCCAGGTGCCTTGCTCCTCGAAGCGTGGTCCCCGGGCCAGCAGCACAGGAGGCTGCAGCCCGCCCAGCCCTGTGATCAGGGTCTGTACTTCAGCGACAATCCCAGGCACCTTATGCACATGTTAAAGTTTTGGAGTCACTGTTCCTGGGAACAAGCCAACAAATATTCACAGAGCACCCGTGTTACTCCCCGGGGACTGTGGAGATGAGAGCTTGCTCCCCAGGGGCCCAGATTCCAACGTGCTTGGGGCCTGAGCCTCATGCATCATTCAGAAACAACGCAGACTAGGGGAGATGCAAGAGGCGTCACAGAGCTGTGGGCACCCGAGGAAGTCCGCTCAGAGGACTTAGCAGGTGTCCCAGCAAAGAGCGTGGCTGAGTCAGGTGGGGAGGTTGTGGGGTGTAGCTGAGGAGCATTTGCCCAGCACGACCTGGCTGGCTGGTTAGAGAGCTGGGCTCGGGACCCAGGTCTCTGACTTGGGCACTGTGCCCTTTCCACTCTGAAGGGAAGGTGGGTAGAGGCCAGGGTGCAGCAGGATTGGCAGGTGGATGGGCATGGTCTTGAATGGGCCTGAATGGACTTTAGTCGTGGGCAGCAGAGGGTCATTGGAAGTTCTGAGTTTTGTGTGACCGGGTTTTAGGACAAGGCAGAGGCTGGCCCACTTTGAGTGTGGGCTGCAAACCCCTGAGCTCTAACTTCCTCATATTCTCTTTGCAAAATCAGCCCATGAAAGCCAAAGGTGAAGGGCAGCACTTGTGAGCATACGACGGGAAGGCCGGGTAGTCTTTCCGGCCCAGAGCACAGGCCATGGGCACAGCTAGAGGTTCTGATGCAGAGGCTGCCGATCGACACAAGCTCGGGGTTGTGCACAAAGCTCAGTTTGGCTGCAGAGTGGATTGTATCGGCATCCCTCCCAGGGGGTCTACTCCCCTCTTTGAGCTTTAGTGCGGGGTGGGGAACATCCGACCCACGGGCCCTACAAGACCCTCGAAATCATTTGCCAACGCGTTAGGGGTGAGTTAATTGTTTGACTAAATATTGCAGGCTGATTTTTTTTCAATATATTTTATTGAGTTTTTACAGAGAGGAAGGGAGAGGGATAGAGTTAGAAACATCGATGAGAGACAAACATCAATCAGCTGCCTCCTGAACACCCCCTACTGGGGATGTGCCCACAACCAAGGTACATGCCCTTGACCAGAATCAAACCTGGGACCCTTCAGTCCGCAGGCCAACGCTCTATCCACTGAGCCAAACCCGTCAGGGCCAGGCTGATTTTTAAGTTGATCATTTTGTAGGGCCCACAAATGATGTTATACATATCCAAATGGCCCGTGGCAGAAAAAAGGTTCCCCACCCTGAGCTAGAGGGATGCTACCATTTGTCCCGCCTCCCTGGGCACGTGTGTGCCCTACAGACCACCCACAATGATCATGGGTCACAGGGTGTACTCACCGCCTATTTTTTTTTTCATTTAATCTCTTGTTCTGGATTTATTTTTTTATTTTTTTTCCCCCATAAGGAAATAAGGTTTAATTCTACAAATTTACAAGCCAAGACAAAATAGAAACAAAATGTGGAAAACAAGGCCAGCAGTTTGACTCGAGACCACGTCACCGCAGCCCGGGCCGCAGCAGCCTGTCATCCGGGCAGGACTGGGTCTGACCACAGGCTGCCTCTGCTCCTGCCCCTGGTCCCGCTGTTTCTGGGGTCCACTCTGAACCTCAGAACTTGAGGCTGAAGCCAGGGCCTGTGGCCGAGGCCCCCTGGTTGGTGGTGGTGAGGTGGAAGCCAGTCTCCTTCAGATCGTCACCCAGCTGGCGGTAGCCGAGGCCTCCCTCAGGTGGTCTCGGGCTGGTGCCACACTTCACCCTTTGCTGTTCACTCTTGGCGGACCACGTGGGGAACATCGAGGGGTCGATGGGGAGGGGGGTCTCGTGGAAATACTTGTGCTTGAGACTGTCCTCTGCGCTGACCCTCCGCCCAGGAAAGTAGGTCAGGAACTTGTTCATGAGGTCAAAGCCCTGGTCGGAAAGCAGCGCCCCGAAGCGCTTACGCAGGTTGTTGTAGGGGTACTCAGTGAAGGTCATCTTCTTCACGGCGGGCAGCTGGTTGTAGCCTGGCCAGATCTTCTCACTGGGCGTCCCCAGGTCCTTAAACACTTTGTTGATCTGATCAATCTCCGACTTCCCTGGGAACAATGGTTTCTGTGTCAGCAGCTCCCCGAAGATGCACCCCACAGACCACATGTCCACGGCCGTGGAGTACGCCTTGGCCCCCAGCAGCAGCTCTGGGGCACGGTACCACAAGGTCACGACAACAGGGGTGTAGGCCTTCAGAGGGGACCCATACTCCCGCGCCAGCCCAAAGTCGCCCACCTTGAGGATGCCGGCGTGGCTCAGCAGCAGGTTGGAGGTCTTGAGGTCTCGGTGCAGGATCCAGTTGTCATGCAGGTGCTTCACTCCGCACAGCAGCTGGATCATCAGTGTCTTCACCTCCCCTGGCAGGAAAGGCTGCTTCATGGTCTCCATCAGGCTCTTGAGGTCATGCTCCACGTAGTTCATCACAATGTAAATCTTGTCCATGTTGCTGCCCACGACGATCTCCCTGACCGTCACGATGTTGGGGTGCTGCGCCTTGAGAATGGTGCTGATCTCCCTCAGCGACGTGATCGGAAAGCCTTCCTTCTCCTTCTCCATTTTCAGCCGCTTCAGAGCCACAATCTCATCTGTCTTCTTGTCCTTGGCTCTGTACACCACCCCGTAGGTGCCCTCCTCGATCCTGTTCAGGCACTGGAACTCCTCCACACTGCGACAGCCCTGCAGGGCGGGCCGGTACTTGGGCAGCTCCTGCTTGGGCTCCATGGGCGACAGGGCTGGGGAGTCGGGCATGAACTCGCCTTCCGTCAGGGCGGTGCTGTGGGGGGTGCCCTCGCCCACCTCTTCCTCCCCTTCTTCACTGTCCCCGGAACCTCGGTCAAATCGAACAACGAGGATGTGGTTCTCAGCCTCTCGCTCTCCGTCTTCACTCATTTCTTCCTCACTCACCTCCTCTGCCGACTGTCCAGACACGTCCTCAGGGTTGCTCCCAGTCTCCTCTTCCTCCTCTGATTCTTCACTGCTGCTCCCCTCCTCCACCTCCGCTTCCTCCTCCTTAGAACCCGACCCTGATTCCGCTGAGGACTCAGCCGAGCTGGTCTTCCGCTCGTTGTCGCTGATGTCTTGTAGGACAGACAGCAGGCCTCTCTCTTCCACCTTCTCTTTCACTGGCTTCCGGCCGTCTCCCAGCTCAAACCTCTCCCGCGGAGGCCGGGGCAGGCTGCGGCTCCGGTGGCTGGCCTTCACTTTATCGCCCTGGTCCTCTCGCACTGCTCGGTGATGTGCAGAGGCTTCCCTCCGGGCCTCCCGCGCCTTGCGCCGCTCCTGCTGCTGCTCCTGCTGCTGCTCCCGCAGCCTCCGCTCCCGCCCCCTTTCGACAGCAGGCCTCTCTCTTCCACCTTCTCTTCTTTCACTGGCTTCCGGCCTTCTCCCAGCTCAAACCTCTCCCGCGGAGGCCGGGGCAGGCTGCGGCTCCGGTGGCTGGCCTTCACTTCGTCGCCCTGGTCCTCTCGCACTGCTCGGTGATGTGCAGAGGCTTCCCTCCGGGCCTCCCGCGCCTTGCGCCGCTCCTGCTGCTGCTCCTGCTGCTGCTCCCGCAGCCTCCGCTCCCGCCCCCTTTCCAGCTGCTCCAGGCGGTCCCTCTCTCTCCGGGAATGCTCTCTCGCCATCTCCCGCCGCCGCTTCCGCCTCTCCCACTCGCTGCGAGCTTCGTCCCGCTCCTCTCGGTGCTGCTTCCCGCGCTCGTGCTCCCTCTCCGTCTCCTTCACTCTGGCGTGCTTGCCCGCTTCTGCTGAATGACTACGATGCCTGCGTTTCTCTTTTCTCCTCTCATCTTCCCTGTGATGAGCTTTTTCTCTCCGTGACATTTGCTGGGGTGGTTTGATAGTCAAAGAATCATCGTCCTCTCCTCTGTCCTCCACGGAGCCCTCCCTCCTGTAGGGCGAGTTCCTGATGGCGATCTCCATGCGGTGTCCCTCAGCTCCCTCTCCTCCAGGGAATCCCAGTCTTCAGAGTCTTTTAAGCGCTTTATCTCCGCCTTCTCCTCTTGCTCCTTCCCTCGCTTCTCTTCCTGGAGAATCTCATCTACGGTCTCCGCTTTCCAAGAGTCCTTTGCATCACCCATTGGAGTGAAGCCACGCGCTCGCCGACGCAGCTGGCCGAGAGCCTAAAGAGAAACTGCGCCGGGCGTGTGCCAGAGCCTCGTTTTATCCTGCGTCTATCCTGCGTCGGCGCAGGATGATGACGTCAGGGAGGGCCGAAGCCGCAGGTTCCCGAGCCTCGTTTTATCCTGTGTCTATCCTGCGTCGGTGCAGGATGATGACATCGGGGAGGGCCGAAGCCGCAGGTTCCAGCTGGAGAATAGGGCCCTGTGTGTCACTTCCGGCTTTGGCGGATGACACAGGCGGTGGAGCCAGTCGGGGCGCCCCGCTTCGCCTTCTGGGCCAGGGCGCTGGTCGCTGGCGCCGCCCTGGTGGCTCTTCCCCTGCAGTGCCGACCGGAGCCGCTGCTCCTTACACAGAGCAAGGCCGCCCGCCGGGTGGTCAGTGGTTAGAGCGAAGCGCTCTGCGCGGGGGGCGGGGGCATGTGGTGATCGCGGGTTGGATTCCGGGTCGGTTGGGGTCGTGCAGGAGGCAGCCAGTGGTTCACTCCCACATCAATGTTTCTCTCCCTTCCTCTAAAATCAATTTAAAAATAGGGTGGGCGAGCAGCCCTAGCTGGTTTGACTCAGTGGATAGAGCATCAGCCTGTGACTGAAAGGTCCCGGGTTCGATTCCAGTCAAGGGCACATGCCCGGGTTGTGGGCTTGATCCCCAGTGTGGGGCCTGCAGGAGGCAGCTGATCAATGATTCTTCTCTCTCATCGTTCATATTTCTATCTCTCTCCCCCTCTTCCTTCCTCTCTGAAATCTGTAAAAATATATTTTTAAAAAAAGATAAGAACCACCCCAGCCAGTTTGGCTCAGAGGATAGCGGGTCGACCCATGACCTGAAGAGTCCCGGGTTCGATTCCCGTCAAAGGCATGTACATTGGTTGCAGGCCCTGGTTGGGTCGTGCAGAAGGCAACCAATGGATGTGTCTCTCTCATACCAAGTTTCTCTCTCTGTCTCTTCCCCTCCCACTCTCTCTAAAAAATATTAATGGGAAAATATCCTCAGGTGAGGATTAACAAAGAGAGAGAGAGAGACAAGAACCAAGGTTTCTAGTCTCCCCGGCAACAAAGGCTGCTGGGCAGCCCTGGTCCCTGAAGTTTCGCAGGACGAGGCCCCTTCCTTCCCTCTTGCGGCTCCTGCGTCTTGCAGAGTGTTTCCTGTCTCTGGTGGAAGCTGTGTCATGAGCCTGGGAAGGAAACTGGAGAAACCCAAGGAAACACGTCTGCCGGGGTCCTGCCCCATCGGTCCAGGGGTTCCCAAAGGTGTGGACGGAGCCAGCGAAGAATGAAGGACATGCAGACAGCGTTCAGTTGATCAGCATAGCCAAGTTCTCTTCTTTTTTTATTGTCCTGTTACAACTGTATTTATACTACTCGATTCTATAAGCATGCTTGTATAGTCGCATCATGTTATGTTTTGGGTCCTCCCTTGACCTTCGTACTCACTGCCTCTTAGCTGTCGGCTTTGGAGGCCGCCAGGAGCTTTGCCCAAGCACATTCCCAGGTGCCTGCCCCCCTTAGGGTGGACGAAAGCCGCAGAACACGGGTCTGGGACATGCGGGCGAAATTGCGATGCCCAAAAGGTGCTGGGAAACTTTTCCAAGCTTGCGTTCCTTTCCCTCTTCCTTCCCACCTCCTCCTCCTTTCTTCTTTCTTACCTTAGTTGCTTCCTAAATACCTTTCTCCTTTTCACCCAGAGAAGAGTCTCTGGTCCCCTGGGTGGGCACCTGCTTTGTGAGACTAAGTCCAGCCCACAGTCCGTCCGCATCTCAGCCCGAAAGCCCTGGAGAAGGGCTCTGCCCCCTGAGGTGCCCCCATCATCCTTACTTAGAGGCAGGCCTGTGCCACCCTCAGGTGGGCACTCAGCTAATTCCTGACACTGAGGGAAATTCTCGTCATCAGAGAAGACATTTCACCAACAAATGGCCTTTCTCTTCCTTCATCTTTTTATTCTCCATAAAGCAGCACATATTGCTCAAAATGATATGTTTCACTTAAAAAGAAACTTCAGAGATTTCATTGTGGCTTCCGAGAGAGAAGACATGCAGGGCAGGTCTGTCTTAGACCAGTCAGCCCTGGGCCTGAGGCTCCAACCTGTTTAGAACAAGCGATGCCTTTTCCCCTGAACCAGTTCCCCAGGCTGAGTCGGTACAGCCATCCCGTGGCCCACAGGTGCCTGCAGCCCTGGCCAGTGCCGTCCCATGGCCCACAGTTGCCTGCAGCCCTGGGCAGTGCCATCCTGTGGCCCACAGGTGCCTGCAGCCCTGGCCAGTGCCGTCCCGTGGCCCATGAGTGCCTGCAGCCCTGGGCAGTGCCATCCCGTGGCCCATGAGTGCCTGCAGCCCTGGGCAGTGCCATCCTGTGGCCCATGAGTGCTTGCAGTCATAGGCCATGGGGCCACAGCCCTTCCGATGCCCAAGCATTGGAGGGCCTGTTCCCACTCCTGGGCTGTGGAGACAGACTGAGTTGTTCACTCCCACAGAGATTCAGACCCGTTGACCTCCGCACATCTAGTTCTGAAAGAAGTGGGGCCAGGATTCTGACGTGGCTCTGAGAGGACTCAGGAGGGGGGTAGCTAGCTCTTGGAGGCTCTGACATGGGGGCGGCAGGACAGGAAAGAGGAGGACTAGTGTGAGGTGTGTCAGGGAGGAAAAGCAGCAAGGTCTCCCAGAGGTCTGTGAGGGAGAGGCAGGAAGAAGAGTCTGTGGCCCCAGTGGACCACAGTTTGCCATGTGGGGTGTGTGTGTGTGTGTGTGTGTGTGTGTGTGTGTGTGGAGCATGGTGAGCTTGCTCAGACTTCGACAAGGAGAGCAATACCATCTCAGAAAGCTGAGGTGGGGGTGACTCAGGAAGCAGGAAATCTTTTTTGAAGCTGCTGTAAAAATCCGAAAGAGCAGAGAGGGCTCTGCACCTCAGCACTGGCAGGGCAAAGGATGAAAAATGTTTACCCACAATTCCCGTGGGTCCGTTTCTTTAAGAAAGGCCACCTGGTGAGCCGTCCCAGCTCACGCCATCTCCTCCCTGTCTCCCCAGGACCAGCTCTCCGAGCCGCGCTCCCCAGCCAATGGTGACTACAGAGACACGGGAATGGTCCTCGTCAACCCCTTCTGTCAAGAAACACTGTTTGTGGGGAACGATCAGGTATCCGAGATCTGACCGCAGCCGCCCTTGCTTCGCCATGCCCTGCCTTTGGGCTCTAAATCATAAATCTACAAATATATATTATAAATATAATCTTTGTGTAACCCTGACTTAAGGAGAAACATTTTCAGCTTTTTCTTTCCTAAGAATTGTCAACATCTTTTTTATAAGTGTGGTTTAAAAAAAAAAAACTTTACAGAACGACCGTGGCTTTATAAAATAAAGGTCTTTCTAAGCAAAGCAGGTGCACCGATTGCTTCTCTTAATAACTGTCCTTGAGCCCTCGCGGGTCCCAGCAGCCCTGGGCATCGAGGGAATGTCACGTGCGTGGCCCCGAGAGAGTCTTAGAGCTCAGGTCCCTCTTGAATCCATGTGACCCCGGCCGCCCCTCCTGTGCACACCAGCAAAGGCACCCGGGGGAGAGGACGGCAGTCTCATCACTGAAGCAGGAAGCGGACGAGCAGCAGCCACGGAGGAGCGCCCAGCGCCTCACAGGGCACCACTGACTGCGAGTAACCCCTCTGAGCAGGCAGGGGACCCACGAAGTCCATTGGTCATCCTGAGGCCACAGCCCCCTGACACCGCATGACTGACCCGCCGCCGTGCCAACCGCAGGCCTGCTTTTCCCTGGCGAAGAGAGGCTGCCCGCTGAGAGGCACGCCTGCCTCCCCTGCAGCACCCACGTCTGCGTCCCACGCTGTGCCTTCCTCCGGAGAGGGTGCCGAAGCGGATCCGCCCGGGCTGGAGGGTGCTGGCCCTTCTTCAAGCATCACTCGTGCCAGGGGGCTCAGCTTCCAGGGGTTCAGCTTCGTTTCTCAGAAGGCCCTCGGATAGTGCCCCCGAGGAGGCGCTTATGTGAGAAGCCTCGACGCTGTAACTTCTAAATCGCCCTGCGATCTGACGGCAACGAAATGGCCAAAGCCATGGCTTGGGAGAACCGTCCCATCCTCCTCGGCACTGACACCCGATTGGCTGTCAGCACATGGACTCACCACCCGGCTCTCATTTTCCATCTCCCCTTCCCCCCCGCCCCCCTGCTCCCTCCCTCCGTGGGCCGCCTCCCCACCCCCACTGAGGGTGGCAGACCCTCGGAGACACGCAGGCTTCTGCATCCTCTCCCTCATAGGTAGTGGCTGGGACGAGAGATTAATGCTGGGACGCTTCCTTTCTCTAAAAGAAAAATAGTTTGATAGTATATATTTTGAATATAGATGTTCTTATAGTCAGATTGGAAATCAAACCTAAATGTTGACTCATATGTTTGTGTTGTTGCTGTGGTCTTATCATGACTCTTTTCTTTCTTCATTCTCCTTTGAAAAAGATGGCCTTCAGAAACGTGTGTTCTCCATGTCGTGTGGACGTACCTGACATGAGTTCAGTGGTTGTCTCTCTGTAAAGACTCTTCATCCCACAGAGAAGCAGGTTAAATGTTGCCCCGAGATTCCTTCCCCATGTGCTGCTGTCTGCCATGTTATCCTGTCATGGGATTTCTGTTAGCGACTGCATTTACTCTATCAATGTGTGTGTGTATATAGAAAGATACCTGTTTGTAAACTTTATATATGACATATGTAATCGAAGATGCATATGTTATATATACATATGTGGATGTATGACTTATTTTTCCTTATCAACAGAATTCAGCTACCATGTATATATAAATAAACTTATTTTATTAGCCAGAGGATCAAGTTGCTAATACATTTTGTATCCTTTTCATTTTAAAATGACTTTTAAGTCTTCCTTTAATACCCACACCACCTAATATTCAGCTCTATTTTTCATCTACTTTAGCCATAAATTGGGTTTTGTGAGAATGATGAGCTGATAGGACTAGCAGTTTATTATTTGGTAAGACAAATTCTTTAAAACATGTTTGTGATTTCTCCAAAAGAGAATCATCCCTCCTCAGGTCTGGGAGACACCGGTGTGAATGAGGGTACATCGTACATCCCCTCCTCTCCTCCCCCTCCCCAGGACTCAGGGCTTCATTGTAAATATCAGAGGAAGCCGAAGTTAACCTGGCCATGAGGGTTATGATTCTGTGTAGAGCAGTGGTTCTCAACCTTCTGGCCCTTTAAATACAGTTCCTCATGTTGTGACCCAACCATAAAATTATTTTCGTTGCTACTTCATAACTGTAATGTTGCTACTGTTATGAATCGTAATGTAAATATCTGATATGCAGGATGGTCTTAGCAGGGGTCCTCAAACTACGGCCCGCGGGCCACATGCAAATACAAATATTGTATTTGTTCCCGTTTTGTTTTTTTACTTCAAAATAAGATATGTGCAGTGTGCATAGGAATTTGTTCATAGTTGTTTTTTAAACTATAGTCGGGCCCTCCAACGGTCTGAGGGACAGTGAACTGGCCCCCTGTTTTAAAAGTTTGAGGACCCCTGGTCTTAGGCGACCCCTGTGAAAGGGTCGTTCGACCGCCAAAGGGGTCGTGACCCACAGGTTGAGAACCGCTGGTGTAGAGGATAATACGCAACCTCTGGTGTGAGCCCTTCCTTTAGCCTTCAGCGACACATCCTGGGATTCACAAGCATGCAGCTCCTCGCAGCCCAGTCAGCGTCGCCTGTGTTAGGATGCTGTCATCGCAGTCCCGCGGGCACCCTGGGCAGCCTTCCGGGTGCATTAGAGAGGTAGAGCCCAGGCCAGGGCCTGGGAAGTAAGGTCCAGAGAGGTGAAGCTGTGTGGCCAAGAGAGGATGAGCTGCAGTTTTCTCAGGAAGGAACTAGGGAGGGACTTGAAGCTGCTGCCAGGATGAGGGGGATGAAGGAAGCAACAGGCTTGGTTTGTTTCTCTTGAGACCCCGGGGCTGCCTCCGCCATGGCTGGTTCACGTCTGCTTCCATCCTGTGTTACCTGGCGGGACCTTGGGCACAGTCACACGCCGCACACCGGCACCTGTAAGGATGTAGAAAGCCCTGAAATTGGCCCTGGGAATCCCTGCATTGTTTAAATCCTGGTTCAGCCACTTGTGATCTGAGCCCCAGTTTACTCATCTGTGAAATGGGGCTGCTGGAGGCCTGCCTTGCCCTCACTTAGTGAAATACACACAACCCCAGATGAGCCACCCCCACAGCCTGCAGGGATCCAGCCTCCACCACCACCAGCAGAAAAATCTGGGAGGTCGAGCACATGACCCTGAGAGAATGTGCGAGGGCCTCTGCACACGGCCCTGGACAGGCCGGCTCTCTTTCAGCTCCGTGAATGATAGAAACTCATGGAAAACAGCAGACACAGCAGCCCTGGGGACGGAGCTTCCAGAGAGGCCGATGACCCAGCCACAGGGACACCGGGGCTGCACACCAAAAGCCGCTGGACTCTAAGCCCAGTAGGCACAGAGAGGCAGAAGGGCGATGAGCTCAAAGCGAGTGGTGGTGGATGCGCCCACCGGTGCCAGCGTGCCTGTCCAGAGGCACAGGGCGTCCTTCAGGGGGACACGGTCATCGTCCTCCTCCCTGGATAGTCCCCCGGTCTCCAGGACCAGTGCCATGGGTGGCCTCATCCGAGCACCCAGGGTCTATGTAGGGATGGCCTCCGATGGATACACCGGTGGCCTGGGTGGCTGCGTGACCCGTCGAGCCCTGGGCATCAGCAGTGTCTTTCTGCAGGGGCTGCGGAGCTCAGGCCTGGCCACAGCGCCCGCTCCAGGCCTGGGGAGGGACCTCGATGCCGCTGAAGACCTGGGGGGCTGCCTGGTGGGGTACATGGCCCAGGTGCATGCCCTCGAGCAGGTCAGCCAGGAGCTGGAGGCACAGCTGCGGAGGCACCTGGAGAGCAAGGCCGGGCGTGCGGAGCACTGGGGCGCCCTCCGGGCCTCCTGGGCCAGCAGCTGCCAGCAGGTGAGTACCGGGCCCGTGCCTAAGGGCTTTTCGGAGGGCGGGACAGGAGGCTGAAGGCTGAGGCCGGGGGCAGGGGAGTGAGTGGTCGGAGGCCAGAGACACTGACCATAACCCCTTCTACTTTCATGCTAAAAACACTAAGCCAGCGATTCTCAACCTGTGGGTCGTGACCCCTTTGGGGGTTGAACAACCCTTTCACAGGGGTCGCCTAAGACCATCGGAAAACACATATATAATTACATATTGTTTTTGTGATTAATCACTAGGCTTTAATTATGTTCAATTTGTAACAATGAAAATACATCCTGCATATCAGATATTTACATTATGATTCATAACAGTAGCAAAATTACAGTTATGAAGTAGCAACAAAAATAATTTTATGGTTGGAGGTCGCCACAACATGAGGAACTGTATTAAAGGGTCGCGGCATTAGGAAGGTTGAGAACCACTGCACTAGACAGTAGTAACAGCAGTGACGATGACCACTGACGGAAGCGCACTAGGGCCGGGCCCACCAGCGTCCCTCTCCATCACCATCTCCCCGGGCGTGCACAGCAGTGCTGTGCTGTGGCTCATTCACTGATCCCATTGTTCAGATAAGGAAACTGAGGCCCAAAGGGAAGTTCTCTGGCCAAGACCATGCAGGGAGTAGGGGGTGGAGCTGAGATTTGGACCTGGAATTTTCTGGCTTCAAAGCTTGCATTTGTGCCATTACCTCGGGCTGCCCCGTAAGCTTTGTGTTAAGGAAGGGTTTTTACAGCCGTGGTCAAACGGAATAGCATCGAGTGGATGTAGCATTAAGAACAATGAGTGAGTGAAGGTGTGTTCCTGTGCCCTTCTGTAATCGCACTGTCCAGTGGAAATAGGAGCCATATGGATAATTTACAAGTTCCTATTGCCCACAGTAAGAAAAAAAAAAGGTAAAAAGAAACTGGTGAAGTTAGTTAACATTGGTATTATGTCTTATTTAACTGAATGTATTTTAAATGCGATTCCAACATGTATTCAATATAAGAATAGTAATGGGGCCGTCTGCCTTCCAATAGGACTTTCAGCAGCGATGGCAGTGGCCTGTGTGCACACTGTCCACCCTGGTGCCACTGGCCGTGTGGCTAATGCGACTGGGGAACTGATGTTTTTATTTCGTTGCATTTTGTGACTTTGCATGGCTTGTGGCCGGTGGCTGTCTGACGGACAGGGCAGGGCGCCAGGCTTCCGCCGTCCTCGCTGCCTAGTCGGGACCTGCGCTCGGTGCCCTCTGCAGAGCTCTCAGCTCATCCATCACGTCCGGCCTGCCACCCGGACTCTAACACTGGACTGCAGCCAGCACCGCACATCTCATCTGGCTCTTCTTGGGTGGCTGCCTTCCTCCCTCCTTCCCCCCAC